ATACAATATATGAAGGAATCAGAACTTAAAAACAGATAAAAAGATCAAGAACAACTTTAACATTGCTTCCTTTTCAAAGCAAAACATTTTAAAATAGTTGTATAAGCAACATAAACTGACATAAAATACTCAAAACTATTAGGAGCAGTCCTGAATGTCCTGCTGTGGAGGCCTGCAAACATTTAGAAACCGGGACCCAAGGTGAGAGCAGCTCTAGAACGTGCAAAATAAGATTTATATGGGAGCATAGTGCTGAAAGGCCGAAGGCAAATAAACCCTAAGCTGATTAACCATAAATGATTTCTGAAATGTCTGAGTTCAGTATCAAGTGGGGTAAACGCAGCATTTAACAATCTTATCTTGTCGTATCACTTGCCACCGCCGTACGACTGTCGACAGAACTATTGTGTAGGTTTTTATCACATGTAGGAGGTAAAGCAGTCGGTATAAAGCTGGTGGAGTTTCAGTGGTACAGTGTCTCTGTATCTCATCAGGTTTCGAAATTCCTGCAGATCACAGGACGTGTGAAAATAACAACAACAACCGCTGTAACACAATAGTGTAGATGATATTTACAGATAAATCTCTCTGACAGTGTTTGGGTGCTTTCCCAGTGTTCTTGCGGCTGTAGTAGTGTATTTTAAGAAAGTTGGCAGACTAGTTTCAGGATCTTGGGGACTTCAACTCTCACATATGAGCCATATTTTCTGCATTTACCTGTAGCTTTTTAATCTCTTTCTTGAGGTCTGCTTCATATTTCTCCTTCTGGTTTGCGTTTGCTGCATTGTGAAGCTGCAGAGAAAGAGAAACAGAGGGGTCAAAGCAAGTTCTGGCCCAAAATAATACAGTGCACACCCTCATTATATACACATACACTTGAATAACTTGGGAAAAGTGTCACCTGTTCATACTTTTCAAGTTTGAATTCAGTCATTTGTTTTATCTTTGTGCTACCAATTCATTTTAGGACAACTATTGATCTCTGTGGGGAGATTAAACTTGCTGCAGCAGCAAAGGTAATACTATCACATCGAGACAAAATGGATTATAAAATGAGCTAGAAAGACAATAAAAGTAATACAAATAGAACAGGAAGATTTATGGGGTAAATAACAGCCTCTGGAAAGTCAGATGGACTCCTAGTAATCAGCATAAAAGTCTGGCAAAGACAACCACAGGAACATAATGAATACGAGATATAAGGAAGGAAAAAGGGCAACTGGGATCTTTGTTAAGTAAAGCACTGACAACCTTCTGCCTCTTTATTAGCAGAACAGATCGACACACTGCGCTGCTGCGAGCTCAGGGCCAACTTTTAATAACTGCTGAATTCACTCACTTTATTATCTGTGCGTTATTATTATCTTTATTATGCTGACTTTTGTACATCGTGCCGTAGGGATGGTAGATGGATTTTATGGCGCCAGAAGCCTTCGTCCCAGCTAACAGAAGTTAGTGACGTTAAACTCGGGAGCAGCCAGGGCAAGAAATGAAACTAATGCAGGAGAATAAACTGTTCTAAATGTTGGTCAGTGGCAGATAAATGTAGCAGCAATCAGAACAGAACTAATGCCAGTTATAGCTGAAACAGTTAATCAATTAATTGCTTAGTTGATAATCGATTTTGAGTTTTTCTCATGCACAAATTCTCCAGTTCCAGCTTCTTAGTTGTGAACGTTTGAGGTTTTGGACAGAGGACATTTGAAGACGTCACCTTGGAAATATTTGCAACTTCCTGATACTTTACTGTCCTCTGGCTCCAGCTTCTAAAATGTGAGTATTTTCTGTTTTTAACCCATTTTAAAGTGAATATTTTTATATTTTGTTACAGTAAACCTCAACAATAACCTCTGAAATATAATTATTATTATATATAATATCGATTCAGAGTCCCAGTGGCCTTTCTTACCTTTTGCCAAATGTCTTCAAACTGTTCGACTCCTTCCGCTACTTTTTTCAGACATCGATCTATTTCACCTGAAGGAGAATTAGAAGGAGGAGGAGGAGGAGGAGGAGGAGGAGGAGGAGGAGGAGGAGGAGGAAAAGAGAGGAGGAGGAAAAGGAGGAGGAGGAAAAGAGAGGAGAAATAGAAATAGGAGGAGGAGAGAGGAGAGAGGAGAGGAGGAGGGGGAGAAGGAGAGGAGCACAAATACAGCATTAGTGAACAAGTCATCACCATGCTAATCTTGTGAAAGTGATAATAAACTGGCAGAGCGAGTACGAAGAAGCAGCTTACGTGGAGTCAAAACCAGAACACATCTTTAGAAAACGTTCATCCGGTTCCATAATGAAGCTGCTCCTCAGACACTTCACTGGACTGATCCCATTTTATAATCTCACACACAAAAACAACACACTCCATGTAACAGCGGCGCGCTCACAAATTGTGTTTGACAGCTCGTGAAATATGCATATCGTAAAAAAGGTTACATAATGCTTGTAAGCGAGAGGTAAACGCACACAAACACAAATCCTCTGCACACACAAACACGATGATAAAGATGAATCAAAACCTCTGAATCACACTATTTCAACAGAACCTGATCAATACAGCCTTCAGTTTCATACAGGACTGTTGTGTTTGACCGGATTACTTTTATTGGTGCACTGCGATGGAAAGGGGAGAGAGTAAGAGTCAAACCAGGTCTACATTAAGGCTTTGTTATCGCCACCATGTCCCAGATTTATGTTTCCCCTCGTCACGTGATACAGTTTAAATGTTCGCTGTGAAATGTAAACAGGAAAAAGCTATTTTTAGGATGTTTTTAATGATTTCTAACTCGGCCCACATCGTGTAGTGTATGTGTTCTCTTCAACATGCCACAGCCGACGGTTTCGGTGCGGTGGGAAACTGTGGAAACATCACTCACACTAAACTTCATGAGATCAAATCCGGACTCGTTATACATCTCACAGGATCCTGATATTTCCCACAGCACCATGAAGGCAGCGTAATGTCGGTTTCTTCTGTTGACTCAGTCAGTTTGAACACAATCGTCAGTTTGTGCGTCTGAAGAGGCAGAAACAGCTGAACGGAGACAGACGCCCCAACAATAAATAACTATTTATCAGGAGAAACTTAACAAGTAGAAGAACTATAGCGACGTTCAAGTGTATGTGATTCTGTTTACTTATTTTTAAGTGAATGAAATGAAATGAAATGAAAGAGGGCTGACAGGTAAAAACATCGTACTGCGATTATCTGGACAGATATTGTGACAATAATGAGGGAATGATCATTTTTCAAACATTTGGGGGTCTCTGATCAGCAGCACTTCATTATAACGCTGTTTGTCACACATCTTACCTTTATTAAAACATTACAGCTCTTGTGAT